AAGAAGTACCACCCTGACATAGCTGAAACAAACCATATCTGCAACATGTTTAGTGACAAAATCCTGTCCCATTTCAGGGAAATCTTAGAGATGCCAGAAACAGAGCACTCTGGATAGTTATTTTGTGAGACAGGGGTCCAGTTACTCTCAAGCTGGTCCTAGTGGCATTAGCCCCTTGGCTGTCGCAATCCCAAATCTTGGGGTGTCTCCTTGTGTCGAAAATTTAAAAAAAAAAAAAAAAAAAAAAAAAAAAAAAAAAAAAAAAAAAAAAAAAAAAAATTACACAGAATTACACTCTTGCGAAGTTAGCAACCTCTGTGATATTTGCATATCGGCAATTTTGGCTACTTTGAGCCCTACTTTCAGCTAATTCCATTGTCCCAGTCGACCAAACTCATAGCTATTTCTTTAGAACTCCATTTTTTTTTCTATCGATTGAGTACAAGAAACTGCCCATTTACTGATTTCAACTACCCAATAACATGGTCAGAAATTTGCAATTTGGCCAATTTCATAAAAACTAAAAAAATATGACAGTTTCGAAATAGGGTCCAGAATGAACAATGCAGACATTCCTGGCTCTAAAATAACATTTTTCTTTGTTCATCAGTCATGTCTCCAGGCCCCTCTGATATTACTCTTGCTTTCTATTTTGAATTTTTATTCAAACAAAAAATAGAAGATTTACTGTTATGCAGACTACTGCAATATTGTAATAATTGCATAAATAATGTCAACCCATTTATGTCTGCATATTAGAATGGCTAGTTGGACATTTATTGGACAATGACGTCATTTGTTTACTTTTGAACATCGGCAAAAATCAAACATTTCCCCTAGTTTGAGCTCCATTTCAAGGTTCTTTTCATAGTAAAACCAATAAAAATCATCTCTATTTCTATAATATGTTTTCCATTCTATCAAATGAGACCAAGAAAACGAGAATACAACCATAAATACTATATGAAAATAGACCACAAAGTCGGCATTTTAATTAAAAAAAAAAAAAAAGGGTCGTAGATTTTTTTTCACATTATGCACTGCGTGCTGTAGGATTTTTTTTATATGGTGCACACTGACCACACAGACCCATTCTCTCACATGTGGGCCTACCAGCTTTCTCCTGGTTGATCTGAAGCCGCTAGAATTTATGAGTATATACTATACATCAAACACGGTGGCTCGTAAGATGTATATATACGACTGAAACAATCAAAGGGTTAAAAGACAAAGAAAGGAAGTAACCTCAGAGAAGGCTTTGCTACCTAAAGTCTTTATGGAGGGGGATTCCCCTTCCAAACACTAATGCCTCCCTTTTTCCTCCTCCCTATCTTCCAGAAGCCAGCATTAACCTTCAATAACGGTATGTAATATTTATATAATTGTTAAAAAAATTATTTTTTCTGAATATTTTTGTCTGGAATGGATTAATTGTATTTATATTAATTCTTATGGGAAATATTATTTCGGTTTTTGGCCTTCTGGAACGGATTGCACCCAATAACCGAGGGTCCACTGTAGTTATGTACTAGGATAAGCCTGCCTGAAATGCCCCAGCATGATAGTGGCTTTATTTGTACTTAACAAATCAAAATTGTAAACTGACAAGGGTCATACAGCACTGTCAAAGTAGCAGAAATGTTCAATTTTTGCCGATGTTCAAGAGTAAACAAATCATGTCACATGTCCAATACACATCAACTAGTGGGTCTAATACGTGTTCACGAATGCACTGATACTATTTATACAATTGCTACAATATTGTGTAACAGTAAATCTTCTATTTTTTATGTGAATAAAAAGTCAAAATGGAATTCAAGTGTAAAGCCTAGAAACATAACTAATGAACAGAGGAAATATTATCATAGTGCCTGGTATGCCTGCATTGTTCATTCTGGACCTTGTTTTGAAATTGGAATATTTTGAAATTTCTGTGAAATTGACCAAATTACCAATTTCTGATCAATTTATTGGGTAGTTGAAATAGCTGATTGGATGATTTATTGTGCTCAGTCGATAAAATGGAAGATATACTAGTGAAATAGCTAAGAATTTAGTCAACTGGAATATTGTACAGTGGACCCTCGGATTATTATTATAATCAAGGGGGAAGCGCTAAACCCGGAGGATTATACAGCGCCTGGGGGGGGGATGTGGAAGGCATTCAGGCTTAATTCGGGGAACTGGAGCACAGATCCAATTCCCTAAATCAAGAGCCCCTCACCAACATCAAGGAACCTTCCTTGAGGGGAGTGGACCCTCGGATATTGGCCATTCCTGTTATCGGCCAACTCGGTCATCGGTAGGTTTTTCGGCTCCCGGTGATCAGTCATTTTGGACGTGTCTGTCCGCCAGCTGGGGCTGCTTGCATGTCATTCTGGCCTTGTCTCTCGGTGTGTGAGAAACCTTGCTCATACATCCAAACATTTCGCTGGTTTTCCATTGTTTTCTTTGTTTTTTTTCAGTGAAACTGTGAAATAAGTAACCATGGCTCAAAAGAAAGTTTCTAGTAAAGTTCCTGTGGTGAAGAAAGTGAGAAACACCATGGAATTTAAGCGTGAAGTGGTTGATAAGTATGAGAGGGGTATGTGGGTGGTGGAACTTGCCAGGATGTAAGGGAAAAACAAATCGACTATAGTCGATTTGTTTTTCACCTACATCCATCCATCCTGGCAAAGAAAGAACAAATCAAGGATGCTAATGTTGCGAGAGGAGTAACTTTTATAAAGAAACAAAGGTCACCGATAATGGAACAGATGGAAAAGTTGTTATTGTGGATTAAGGAAAAAGAATTAGTGGGAGACAGTATTGTGGAGTCGATTGTAAGAAGGCAAAGCAGTTACATGAGGATCTTCTACAGAAAACTCCTGGAACAAGTGCTGCCGGTAGTGAATTTAGGGCCAGCAAAGGGTGGTTTGAGAGATTTAAGAAGTGTAGTGGCATACAGTGTTGTAAGGTATGGAGAGGCTGCAAGTTCTGACAAAAAAGCGGCTGAAAAGTACAAACAGGAGTTCAAGGCCTATGTAAAGGCTGAACAATTAAAACCCCAGCAAGTGTTCAATTGTGACGAAACAGGCCTGTTTTGAAAGAAAATGGCAAACAGGACATACATCATGTAGGAGGAAAAGGCACTGCCAGGACACAAGCCTATGAAAGACAGGCTTACTCTTTTGTTGTGTGGTAATGCTAGTGGGGATTTTAAAGTGAAGCCTTTACTTGTGTATCACTCAGAAAATCCCAGTGTTTTCAAGAAAAGCAATGTCATTAAGAATAGATTGTGTGTGATATGGAAAACTAATCAAAAGGCAAATTTTCATAGTGGGTTAATGATGTGTTTGGCCCAAGTGCAAAAAAATACCTGCTGGAAAAGAAATTGCTACTCAAGTGCCTCCTGGTACTGGACAATGCTCCTACACATCCTACAGACTTGGAAGACCAATTGTTAAGGGACTTCAGTTTTATAACAGTGAAGTTCTTGCCTCCTAACACCACTCCTCTCCTCCAGCCATAGACCAGCAGGTCATTTCTAACTTCAAAAAACTCTACACAAAAGCAGTGTTTGAAAAGTGCTTTGAACTGACCTCTGATACTCGGTTGACCCTAAGAGAGTTCTGTAAAGATCGCTTCATTATCCTCAATTGCATAAGCTTTATAGGTAAGGCTTGGAAGGGAGTGACTTCCAGGACTTTGAACTCTGCTTGGAGAAAATGTGGCCAGGTTGTGTCCAAGAGAGTTATTTTGAAGGGTTTGAGGCTGACCCTGACCCTGCCAACCCTGTGGACTAGATCTATTGTGGCACTGGGGAAGTCCCTGGGGTTGGAGATGAGTGGCAAGGATGTGGAAGACTTGGTGGAGGACCACAGGGAAGAACTAACCACTGAAGAGCTACAGGAGCTTCAACTTGAACAGCAACATATTGTAGCTGAGGAACTTGCTTCAGAGGAGGAGGCTGAGGGAGTGAAGGAGGTGTCTTTTTCAGAGATTAAACAGGTGTGTGCAATGTGGACTAGGGTGCAAGCTTTTGTAGAGAAACACCACCCTGACCAAGCTGAAACAAGCCATATCTGCAACATGTTCAGTAACAAAACCTTGTCCCACTACAGGGAAATCTTAAAGAGACACCAGAAACAGAGCACTCTGGATAGTTATTTTGTGCGACAGGGGTCCAGTGACTCTCAAGCTGGTCCTAGTGGTCTTAAAAGACAAAGAAGGGAAGTAACTCCTGGGGGGGGGGGGGATTTCCCATCCAAACACTAACTCCTCCGTCTTTCCTCTTCCCTATCTTCCAGAAGCCAACATTAGCCTTCAATAAAGGTATGTAAAACATACTTATATAACTGTTAAATTTTGTTTTTTTAATATTTTTTGTCTATAACGGATTAATTGTATTTCCATTAATTCTCATGAGAAATATTAATTCGTTTTTTGGCCATTTCGGTCTTAGGCCAAGCTTCTGGAATGGATTACAGTTGATAACCAAGGTTCCACTGTAATTGGCCTAAAATCGGACTCAGATTGGAGGAAATCGCTGATGACTTAAATATCGCTGACAAGTAAAATTTGCAAAAGCGTAATTTCGTCAGTTTTCCATCAAATTTTGTACTTCTTTTATTACCTTCAGAAAAAGATTCTCTACTATTTCATAAGAAACAACATTTTTTTTCATTTGAAAATTTTGCAACCCTGAGAGCAGGGGTCGTGACCCTGAAAGGGTTAAGCTATGCCACAGTGCAGAGTGCATGGGTATGCTGTTAGGAGCTTTTCTCATAGTGTTATAGGATCTCTTAATATTAGTAATGCAGTCTATTTAGTGAGCTGGATCCATAAACAATAATATTCAAGGGGGTTATACAGAGGCCTGCAGAATGAGGGACAATCAAGTTTAATCCATGGAAACATAGGGGAGAAGCAGCTACAAATCCTTGGATCAAGTCTTCTTCACCTGCATCAAGGCACCCTCCCCCTTGGTAATCCTTCTAGAAAGGACATTAAGGGTGAAAAATAAAACAAATCTTTGTTGGTAAGGTACATTGATTTTTGCACAATGTAAAGCATATACAGTACCATACAATATTTTTGAAAAATATGAATAAAAAACATTTGAAATTTTACGGTGAAAACTTGATAATAAAAGGCTAAAAAAATGCTGATATATTAACTGGAATTAATCTTAATGAAAACTTTTCTCTGTCTCCAACACTGTACTTGTTTGGTAAACATTACTGACTGAATACTTTCAGCACTTCAATAAAAAACAATAATTATAGAAATCAGAGTACGGTACACTACAGTAAATTTTAATTTAGGTAGAAAGACAATAAATAACGTTTTTGCAAGTATTCTACTTTCAAATTGGCAATCTCTGTTGTAAACACTACCATACAGATAAAAATACTTTCAACATTCAGGCAATTTCTAAATACTCACTAAAGCATCTCACACAACTTTGTCAGTTTTACACATAAGTTACTGTACTAGGACCAGCCACTGAGAGGCAGAGGAACATGCATATCAGGGTGATCAAACAAGAGATTCCGCATTCTGGGTTTGGGGTCTCTGTGGTGGTTGTGGAGAAGTTTAAATACTCCTGTACCAATATTCATGGGCTTCCCCATAATGATGCAGTCACTAACACCCTTAATGGGGTTACTCTGGCCATGATATGCTGCATCAAACAAGTGGTCAGCTGTCTTCTCAAACTGAAATGAAACAAACCATATTTAACAATCAAGATATTCTTTTTACTTCTTTAAATCACCGTAGACAAAATTTTTAAATCTAACCTATTCTTCTCTTAAATATAATTCTCATAAAAAAACAAATACTAAAACATAAAAATAATTAGTCATAATTTGGGAAAATCCAAGAAAATGAAGTGAAAGGCATTTGGAAAATTCCTTTCAAAAAGAAGTAAATTTGATTATTCTTTCCTGAGTCTATCTTTAATTAATAAGTAACAGATTAACACAAATATGATTTACAGCAGGTTAGGCTCTGGCTACCATCAGACAGCAGACATTGCTGGAAAGAAGAACTCCATTTTTTCCAACTTATAAATGATATAAATGCCAGATAACAAGTTTACACTAACATATATTAAGTTCGCAATAGAACTAGGTATTAACCCTAAAACTGTCCAAATGTAGATCTAAGTTTGTACTACTAGAGCTCCAAACATAGATCTAAGTTTTATTTTCCCTGCCTCCAAATTTGGCACAATTGGCCTGAGATAGCTGGTCAGAATAGAATGGGTCTTAACACTGTGTGTGCAGTATTAAAAAAATCTGGGAGCACTTAGTACCTTGTGGGAGCACCAGTTCACCTGAGCACCAGCTAGAGCAAATAGCATGGCAAACACCAGGGATTCACTGATGTCATGTATTAACACTCTCCTTTTAACCCTTTCGGGGTTTCGGCCGTACTAGTACGGCTTACGCGCTAGGGTTTTTGACGTACTAGTACGCATAAATTCTAGCTCCCTCAAATCTAGCAAGAGAAAGCTGGTAGGCCTACATATGAAAGAATGGGTCTATGTGGTCAGTGTGCGCAGTATAAAAAAAAAATCCTACAGCACAAAGTGCGTAATGAGAAAAAAAAAATTTTGACCGTGCTTTTGGTTTAAAACAGCAACTTTGCACTGTATTTTCGTATGGTATTTATGGTTGTATTTTAGTTTTCCTGGTCTTATTTTATAGAATGGAAGACATAATACAAAAATTGAGATGATTTTGATTGGTTTCACAATGAAAAATACCTTGAAATTGAGCTCAAAGTAGCAGAAATGTTCGATTTTTGCCAAAGTTCAAAAGTAAACAAATCATGCCATGCGTCCAATACACGTCAACTGGTGAATCTAATATTCTTTCACAAGTGCGCTGGTATTATTTATACCATTTCTACACTAATACAGTAGACTGCATAACAGTAAATCTATTTTTTGTGAGAATAAAAATTCAAAGTGGAAAGCAAAAGAAATGTAAGAGAGGCATGGGGACATGACTAATGAACAGAGTAAATGTTATTTTAGTGCCAGGAATGTCTTTCTTGTTTATTCTGGACCCTATTTGGAAATAGGCATCTTTTGAAACTTGTGTGAAATTGGCAAAATTGCTAAATTCTGACCACTTTATTGGATAGCTGAAATCGGTAAATGAGTGATTTCTTATACAGTGGTCCCCCGCTTTTTAGTAGTTCCCGGCAATCGTAAATTTTGCCAATCATAGGGGTATTTTCGTATAAACATGGACTCGCTTTTCATAGGTTGACTCGCGAGTCATAGTTCGTCCGGAACGCGTACCCACGGCGTGAGCCGGGGCGGCAGCCAGTCTGGCATTGTTTACCAGTGAGCGAAGGTCCCCTCACGTGCTCCAGCAAAATATTTCATAATATTCCATTTATTTTAGTGCTTGCAAGCACTAAATAAATTACCATGGCTTCAAAGAAAGCTCCTAGTGCTAAGCCTGTGGTAAAGAAGGTGAGAAATACTACTGAATTTAAGAAAACCATCATTGAACAATATGAAATTGGTACAAGTGTGGCTGAACTGCCCAGGATGTATGAGAAACCCTACACAACCTTATGTTCCATAGTGGCCAAGAAAAAGGAAATCAAGGATGCTGTTGTTGCAAAGGGGGTAACTATGCTGAAAAAATGAGATCACCAGTACTCGAAGAGGTTGAGAAGTTATTATTGGTGTGGATAAATGAGAAACAATTAGCAGGAAATACTGTTATGACTTCGATTATTTGTGAAAAGGCTAGGCAGTTGCATGAAGATTTGGTAAAGAAATTGCCTGCAAATAGTGGTGATGTGGGTGAATTTAAGGCCAGCAAAGGCTGGTTTGAGAGATTTAAGAACCGTACTGGCATACACAGTGTGGTAAGGCATGGTGAGGCTGCCAGTTCGGACCACAAGGCGGCTGAAAAATATGTGCATGAATTCCAGGAGTACATAGAGGCTGAAGGACTGAAACCAGAACAAGTGTTCAATTGTGATGAAACAGGCCTCTTTTGGAAGAAAATGCCAAAGAGGACCTTCATTACACAAGAGGAAAAGGCAATGCCAGGACACAAGCCTATGAAAGACAGGCTGACGCTAATGTTCTGTGCTAATGCTAGTGGGGATTTCAAAGTGAAGCCATTACTAGTGTACCATTCTGAAAATCCCAGAGTGTTCAGGAAAAACAATGTTATGAAGAGTAAATTGTGTGTGTTTTGGAAATCTAATAGTAAGGCATGGGTCACGAGGGAAATTTTCGTTGAGTGGTTCAATGAAGTGTTTGGCCCTAGTGTGAAGGAGTATCTCCTGGAAAAGAAATTGGATCTCAAGTGCCTGTTAGTAATGGACAATGCACCTGCTCATCCTCCAAACTTGGATGACCTAATTTTCGAGGAGTTTGGGTTCATCACAGTAAAGTTCTTGCCCCCGAATACCACTCCTCTCCTCCAGCCCATGGACCAGCAGGCCATTACAAACTTTAAAAAACTCTACACAAAAGCAATGTTTCACAGGTGCTTGACTGTGACCACAGACACTCACTTGACCCTAAGGGAATTTTGGAGAGAACACTTCAGCATCCTCCATTGCATAACCCTTATAGGTATGGCTTGGGAGGGAGTGACTACCAGGACTTTGAACTCTGCCTGGAGAAAATTGTGGCCAGATTGTGTCGACAAGAGGGATTTTGAAGGGTTTGGGAGTGACCCTGATGAGCCTATGTCTGTTGTAAAATCAATTGTGGCACTGGGGAGTTCCATGGGGTTGGATGTGAGTTTGGAGGATGTGGAAGAATTGGTGGAAGACCACAACGAAGAGCTCACCATTGAGGAGCTGCAAGAGCTTCAGCAGGAAGAGCAACACATCGCAGCTCAGAATCTTGCTGCAGAGGAGGAGGAAGAGAGATGGAAGAAGGTGCCTTCTTCAGAAATTAAAGAGATTTTTACTATGTGGGGTAAGATGGAAAGCTTTATGGAGAAACATCACCCTAACAAGGTTGTTGCAAGCCAGGTTGGCAACATGTACAGTGACAAAGTCTTGGGCCATTTTAGGGAAGTGTTAAAGAGACGCCAGAAACAAAGCTCTCTCCACAGTTATTTTGCGAGACAGGACTCCAGTGACTCAAGGTGGTCCTAGTGGCATTAAGGAACAGAGAAGACAAGCAACCCCAGAAAAGCAATTGGTACCTGAGGTGTTGCTCGAAGGTGATTCCCCTTCCAAACTATAAACAATCCACTCTCTCTCCTCCTCCAGTCTCCCATGCACTAAGAAGAATCTCCAATAAAGGTAAGTGTTATGCTGTTAATGTTTCATTCATCATTTCCCATTGTATTGTTTATGTACTACATGTATATTTCATGTAAAAATTTTTTTTGTTTTAATACTTCTGGGTGTCAGGAACGGATTAATTGTATTTACATTATTTCTTATGGAGAAAATTGATTCGTAAATCCTAAATTTCGTTTATAGTAATGGCTCCAGGAACGGATTAATTACGAAAAACGAGGGACCATTGTACTCATTCGATAGAAAAAACGGAGTTCTAGCGAAATAGTTATGATTTTTGTCGACTAGTACGCTGGAAATGGCCGAAAACAGGGCTCAAAGTGGGCAAAATCGCCGATGCATAAACATCGTTGAGACTGCTAACTTCGCGAGAGCATAATTCCGTAAGTTTTTCATCAAATTCATACTTTTGGTGTCATTATGATCGGGAAAAGATTCTCTATCTTTTCATAAGAAAAAATAATTTTTTTTTTTTTTGAAATTTTGACAACCCTGAGAATAAGTCTCTGAGAGGGCCTGGTGACCCTCAAAGGGTTAAGAGGAAAGTGATGGATGTGGCCACAAGTGGTTGAGGAAATATCAAAAACCCCAATAATAACCCATGTGTAACATTTGTGCAACATCCTTTCATTTTTTATACCGCTGGTAGTGTCATCCTGCCAGAATGTCCTATAGCCTATGTTCTAAGTAAAGAAAAACGATTCTGGAAAACGTGTAATACGTATTTGGCAGGCTGGCCGGCTTTGGCTGTCTCTGTCTGTATCTGTCTGTCTATATCTGTCTGTCTGTATCTGTCTGTCTGTCTATATCTCTGTCTGTCTGTCTGTCTGTCTGTCTGTCTGTCTGTCTGTCTGTCTGTCTGTCTGTCTGTCTGTCTGTCCTCTCCTCTCTCTCTCTCTCTCTCTCACATGTACACATAAGTACAGTTATTATACATAATGTAAATTACATACCTAGGAAAACCCAAAACTTCCAGGCAAAGTGCTATACAGTGCTTGTAGATACAAGGCATAATAAGCATGACTGGCAAGTATTACTCATTGTCACTTCTGCATCATGTGTAATACCTGTTGGTTTACGAGCCGCTCAGAGACTGAGACAAGCAGATGGAAAGACATACACACAGGCAGACAGAAAGATCGAGACACACAGGCAGACAGAAAGTCAGATAAGCAGAGCTAGACAGACAGACAGACAGACAGACAGATAGATAGACAGACAGACATATACGTTTGTGTGTAACAGTGAAAACAAATAAAGCCAGGGTTCCCTGCAGCAGTGTACTATCGTGTCACTCCACTGTTTAACCTGTCAGCAGTTTAGTGACACTCGTCATAAACACCATGCTTCAAGAAGTTTCAAATATACTCCAGCATATCTAAAACATTGCTGAGACCTATAAATATAGTGGTACCTT